TGTGTGTGGATGTGTGTGTGTGTGGATGTGTGTACGTAGTATGTGTGTTAAAGTGTGTGTGTATGCATGTATGTGTGTGATTGTGCGTGTGTGTGTGTGTGAGTCTGTGGATGTGTGTGTATATGTGTGTGTGTTTGTTTGCATGTGTGTATCCCTATTTGAAAGTGTATTTAAGAGAAACTACCTCTTAGTAGCTTGAATGTGTCACGACATGGTATAATCAGGCGTTTATAAATGTTTGAGCATGTTATGGAATTAATAGTATAACTTAAAAGTCTGTTCATGCGCCTTACTTTTAATTTATAAAAAGCGTATCTTTGTTGAATAGTAGTCGAGATATTTTCCATTGATGGAGGTAGTGATCGCCTGGTGTCAGTGGTAAAATTAGCGAGAATATGACCGTCAAAGTTTGGTGATTTTAAAAGATTGGGTACCCTTGGAAATGCATAATTATTTACATTGTCTGTGCTTTTGAGCAATGTTTTCAGTAAAACCTCACACAGATATATGTGTTTTTTAATAGACCTGAAACGTGTACGCAAATAAAACCCAAAACAAACAACAACCCCACAACAAATAATGATAGAATAAGATAAAATATCGATAAAAATTGGCCAACAGCGAAAAAAAAAGCCGGTTTCTTCGATTTCATTATTTTGACAAGCGCCTGTATTCAGCATGATGTCACAAATTATATTATTACTTACTAGATTGTGAGACACCAGATTAAGTTTGAGAGAATATACGTAATTTCAGATATTTGAATGTTTAAAATACATTAAAATAGCCAGAATAGTTAGATGTGCTTCTCAGACATCGTTTACTTTGGCTGACTAGATCACTTTTTTTCTCAAACAAGACATTTAAGGGGAATTCCTTTTGGACCAGATGTTTCCATTGATTTCTTACAAAGTTTTCCCCAGAATCTGCCCCCTTTATTTCAGACAAGACTTTTGCAACTGATCTTGTCTGACCTTTACTGCCCCAGGCAATACATTAAATGTCACGACGGAGTGGAATCAGGCGCTCGTCAATTTTTGGACTTGTGGAGTTTTTGTTTCAATTGTCTTGCTTTCGGTGAAAAAAATACTCATCTATCATGAATAACTAGAAGTCGAGATATTTTTTTATTGAAGGAGATGGGGTTGCCTGGTTCTAGAGGTAAAATTTGCAAGAAAATGGCCTCCGAAGTTTGGCAACTTCCACAGCTTGAGAGACCTTAGAAACTTTTTACACTTGGGTCCCTTAAATCAACACTTTACAGTAAAAACGAGCACACAAATGTCTCTTTAAATTAACCATAAAGGTGTTGGGTCAAAAAACCAAAATTTCATAAAAATTGCCAAACGGCCCCTAAAAAAATATCAGTTTCTTCGATTTCATTATTTTGACGAGCAACTGATTTCACCACGATGCCTCGCGTTTGTCCTTGAATAATTTAGATCTTTCCCCCCTCACAAGACGTTTTGGGCGAATTCCTTTTTGACCAGTAAAAGATGGGTATCTTTCGGGTCAGTTGTGTTCATTGATTTCTTGCAAACATTTGCCCGTTAATGCATGCCCACCCCCCACCTCCCTCCTACAGAGGAGACGTTTGCCCCTGGATGTGTTTGTCAGGCTGTCTGGATTCAACACCTCCGCCTCTTTACGCCGCCACGGGATTGTCGTGCATCAGCAAGGGGACATCAGCGGGGGCTGTGAGTCCAGTGGCCCGCACTATAACCCTTCTAACAGCACCCATGGGTATAGGGAGGACCATGCCAGGTGAGCTTGTTTTCTTTTTGTTCTGTTTTTTGTTTTGTTTTTGCTTTCATTTTGTGTTGGTTTGGTTTGGTTTGGTCTGGGATTGCTTTCGTCTGGGGATTTTTTGGGTGGGGGGTTGCTTTGTTTTTTGTTATGTAGGTGATTTAAAGACATAAAAGCTTGGAACATCTAGCTTTTACAGGTAATATTAAGGGTAGAGGAGACAGGGGTAGATCCGGAGCAACCTACCAGGAGAGCGTAAAATGATGAATGACAGTAAAAGGTCAGGATAACGTAGCTTTTTAAAAATAGATTTTTGGGGCATCTGAGCCAAAATATGAATGAAGAACTATGGTCGCCGTTGTCTGTAGTAGTTCTGACACTTGACGGTGAGGTGATGTAAATCCTCCCGATCGACACAATTTAGATAATTTAGGAGTCGGGCTTTCGACCTTGCCCTTCAGGATGAAAGGAATACAACCTCCCAGTCGAAATGTTGAGATATATCCGAAACTAATTCTGCCCACTCCAAAATCAAACTCGAGTCTTCTGCGTGCGACAACGAAGCCCATAACCACCACACCACACAGGCTGGTATAAATAGATATCCCACGTAGAGTTGTCCCGCCTTTATGATCAGAAAATAATACATAATGCAGTCGTGTTAAAAATACTTTTGCGTGTAATTTTCGATTGCTGTGTGTGTGATGTTGGTGGTATAGGCGATGATCGTGTTTTGTTCTGTTAACTATGTATTTAGTTTGACTGGTGTTGGTACATTGGTACTGTCTTTGTGTTAATTGTACCGTTTTCTCTTCCATTCCAAGGAAGAACCTAAATCTTTAACAACTCGATGTTCATGTAAACTCACTTTATTCGTATGTGTACCTTTACTTTAGGCCTATTCACTCTAAGAAAGAATGTAGATTTTTAACAGCTTCATGTTGCTGTAGTCTTCTTTTTATGTTCTTTGTACCTTTACGTAATTTCTTCAAAGCTAGAAGGTAAATCTTTGAGAATTCCTCGTTTGCCAGACATGAGGGAGACTTGGGAAATATTGATGTGGATCAGGGACAGGTGGACACAAACTTCACCGTCAAAGGTGTCTCTTTGTTTGGGAAGTACAGCATCATTGGCAGAACACTGGTGGTGAGTGGACGATTCGGTGTAACATCATCATCATCATCATCATCATCATCATCATCATCATCATCATCATCATCATCATCATCATCATCATCATCATCAGCAGCAGCATCTTCGTCGTCGTGGCCGTCATCTACGTCGTCCTCGTTGCTGTCGTCGTCTTCATCATCATCATATAAAGTAGCAGCAGCAGCAATAGCAACAACAACAGCAACAGCAGCCGCCGTAGACAAAAAAAATATTAAAGTATAACTTATAAGAGTACAAATTATTTTTTAAAGTAAAACGATTCAACATTTATGTCTTGAACTATTTCAAGGGCATAGGCCATGCCACAGCGAACGTCTCTTTCTGCAGATAAACAATATCTCATCGTATCTTATCCTATCTTGTCTTGTCTTATCTTAACCTTTTTATCTTATCTTATCTCATCTTATCTTATTTTATCTTATCTTATCGTATCTTCCCCTATCTTCTCTTATCTTGTCATACAACTGTGTTGTATCACGTTCCCTGTTAACTCGCCAGGTCCACGTCAATGAAGACGACGGAGGAAGCGGCCTTGACCCACAGAGCGCGGTGACTGGCAACGTGGGAGCGTGCATGGCCTGTTGTGTGATTGGCCGACTGGACTAAAGCGCAGTATCTATTCGGAGACGTCTCCGACGGAGATAGACCAATCAAAATGCTTTGTGCCTCTAGACCCAGTAAAAAAAAATCTGGGTGTTTTTAACCAATAATTTGATATTTTTCGGTTAGATATGAAATTTTCTTTAAAATATTTGATTTGCGACAGTTTTAGTAGCTATACGTGTGATCTACAGCAAACAAAACGCAGTCCGACTCCGCCCCCCCCCCCTGCCCACCAAAGCAGTGCATCTGTGTGCGAGAGTACGTCTCCGAACAGTTCCTGGATGCTCCCCCGAGACGTCTCCGAATATCTTCTGCCATTTGGACTGAAGCAAGGGACGACATGGATTTGAGTGCCTTCCCGCGTGAGACAGGTTAAAGTTCAAGTTTGTTAAAATCGTGACTGAAAGATGGGATTAAAGTTCAATGCCAACAAAATGATGTCTGAATGTTAAATGAAGAAGTTAGAGTTCAATTTTCTTCAGTCATGATTTAAAAAAGCAAGGTTTATGTTCAATTTTATTAATGTGGTGGCTGAAAGAGCCCCCTGCTTAATGTTGCTTTTGGCCGTGCTGGCTGTCTGTCTGTCTCACTGGTTCTGTGTGTTCCTTTATTGTTTTTGAATGAGGGGAATGGTTGTAAATGTTGTACCCTCTGGGCTAATAATTCTTTCGGCTGCCTTTCTACCTGTACTCATTGGTTGATCTTACTGCTGTGTGGCAGCCACATCCTTGATATTAGGGGTAGGTAAGATCGAACGACTAGCCGTTTCGGATAAGGGCCAAAAAAATCTCGGAGGTCCCATGTGCAATTTACGCAGGTTAATTTAAAGATCCTTTGGCGGTCCTAACATTGATAAGAGTAGGCTTCGGCCGCCACCCGGGGAAAATTCAAAATTAATTCCTAACAAACTGAAAGTACCCAGTGTGTCACACACGCTTGTGTGACCTTATGCAGTTGTGGGCGCAGTAAAACACTTACCAAAAATAATATGTGTTGTTTACCCCTAACAATACAATCAATATTTTTTACGAGGCAGTCTGCTTCGCTGCTGCTTGTCAGTCTTTGTCGATTTTGATGGGCTACAACATCCGAGTGGAAAGACAGACATACGAGTTAAAATAGGCCTCCCCCTTGGGCATCGCACTCACTCTTGTGCTTTGTTTGTTTGATAATAGTTTTACAGCTATCTCAACTACTGCATAATAAGTCATCACATGAGAGCGAAGTCCTACGCATACTAGTAGAGCGGTTTAGACGTGTGGTCATAGGTTACATCTGCTCATCTCTTTTGACAGAGAGACAAACACAGACAGACAGACAGACAGACAGACAGACAGACAGACAGACAGACAGACAGACAGACAGACAGACAGACAGACAGACAGACAGACAGACAGGCAGGCAGGCAGGCAAACAGACAGGCGGATGAACGAATGGGTGGATGAATGAATGGATGGATGGATAGGAAGATAGATAGATAGATAGATAGATAGATAGATAGATAGATAGATAGATAGATAGATAGATAGATAGATAGATAGATAGATAGATAGATAGACAGATGGATAGATAAATAGATAGATAAATAGGTAGATAGATAGATAGATAGATAGATAGATAGATAGATAGATAGATAGATAGATAGATAGATAGATAGATAGATAGATAGATAAATAGATAGATAGAGAGATAGAGACGAAAATCACAAACGGTCTAAAATTTTCCGACCCATTCAAATGGTGTGGAGAAAATGAAAGAAAAAAAAATCAAATGTATTTATTTTATCCACATGCTAAGAAACCTGCTTACACAGCAGCATTTTATAATAATATTAATGATTCATACACACATTTCTCTCACGAAACGATTCACCATCACATAAGTTAGTTGTGGCGTCGGTGGCCTAGTGGTTAGGCTCTCGGACTCGCAACCGTAAGGTCGTGGGTTCGAATCCCGTCTGGGACCCGACGTTGTGTCCTTGGGAAAGGCACTTTACACGAATTTTCCTCACTTCACCCAGGTGGGAATGGGTACCCGGCTATAGACAGCGAAAGATCTTGTCAGTTTGTTAGTGTTTGAGCACTTAATCAGCTGCTTGCACTGTATGCTTCCCGGGAAGCTGAGAATGTTTCGGAGTGTTCTATGGTCAGCTGGGGTAATAATATAGTGTAAAGCGCATAGAGCCTGCTGTTGAGCGGGGATATGCGCTATACAAATGCTATCTATTATTATTATTATTATTCCAACAGCTTTATGAGATACAAAATGGAAGGAAACGCTTGCACAAAAAAGTGTGGCCAAAGTTTATGCTGAGCATAGACCTATGTCTTTCTAGACTGGTCCCTGTCATGGTGGCAGCTCTCCACTCTTTACAAAAACTTCGATATATGAAACGCGCTCATCATGAGTGAGCCGCGCTAATACGCCCAAATGAAGGGCAACACATCTGCCTTGTTTATTATCCATCGCTAGCCTAGAATTACAAGGTTTTATCTGCTTAGTGACTAGTTTTGAGAAATTTGGCGTCATTTTTATCTTTCTGTTCTATTTTTTGAATTTCACAATATGTCAAGCTTTTTGTCGGAGGCAATTCTTTGAATATCTTGATAACCACTACGAATAGTCTTATGATCTTGATGGAGCAGATAGAACGTATAATTTTTGGTTTCTGACCTCATGAGCAAGGTAATTCAAAAACAGCCAAAAATATCGGATAGAATTTTGCAATATTAAGGCATCGAAATGGTGCGTTTCATGGTGAACCGAAAGTATGCCAGAGTGCCAGGTCTACAATGTTATAATACAAGTCTATGGGGATGAGTTATAGGGCACGGAGAGGAGTCATAATATACGAGAACACAAGATTGTAATTATTACACGAGGGCACAAATAAGGGCACTGATTAAAGCATAGATGAAATTGACGAAACAGGTCATTCTGCCTTGGTGTGCTGACTAACTACCCTGGTCTACGTGGTGGTGGCGTTTATGGAAAATGTCAATGAAACAATTCCCGTAAGAGAGGATGGTACATATCAAGAGCCCCAAAAAGTCCACTCGTTCACAAGAAAACAAAAGCAAAAGCAGCCCCCTCCCCTCACGCAACAACAAACAAACAAACAAACAAACAAACAAACAAACAAACAAACAAACAAATTTTTAAAAAGGAAAATCTCCAGCAGTAAGGTGAATCAGTGCCCAGAATCAGGCCAAAACGATTGTTGTTTCCATATATAAGTGTCACACAGAAACTGGGCTTAACGGCGATTGACTAAAAGTAAACGTATTTTTTATCTGTAATTTGCTTAGGTCTTTTTTTTTCTTTTGTTATCTATTCCTTTTGGTTTCTTTTTGTATAAGTTGTTTCGAGTTATCATTTGTCTTGATTGACAGGGTGGAGGGGTTTGTTTTGTGTTCATGTGTGCGTGTGTATTTTGTTTGTTTGTTTGTTTGTTTTAGTGTTTTTGAGGGGGGGGGGGGGTTCCTTTTGAAGGGGTGGTTGGAAAAAAAGGGGAGGGGGGGGTTGTTACCCATACGCCTAAAGCCCACACCAAAAACCAACAACCTAAAATAAAAACGAAAAAAAAAACAGATCACCGTAGCTAGTCAAGTGCATAGACTCGTGGAAAGTCAGTACAAATTGTGTTTGCACCATCGAGCATCAAGGACGGCTGAGCAGAAGCCTAATGACAACACCCTGAATCCGCCTCGGGAATCCGTTCCCATCGAAACACGCCATTCCCTCGGGAAAGCAGCTGTGTTTCCAGGATTTCACAAATTTCCATTTTGAGAGGGAGGCGATTTCGCTGGAATCGTTTCCTTCCAACTACGACTATTGATTTTTGTGACTATTCATGGTCTCGAGACATAATTTCCGTTTTCAGTGGACTGTCACCGAATCAGCACCACTTGTCACATTCGTGTAAACTGAACAACATTTTTTCAGGGATGTACACGAGTGCTTGCCTTTATAGGCGATATCGGTGACTGTGTGCTTTTTGGCAATTATTTTGGTAGGGAGTGTCTGTCATCAGGGTAATGACAGATACAATTGGCGACCAAATGTGATATAGACAGACAGACAGATAGATTTATAGATATGCGTGTGTGTACGCGTGTGTGTGTGCGTGCGTGCGTGCGTGTGTGTGTGTGTGTGTGTGTGTGTGTGTGTGTGTGTGTTTGTTTGTTCATGTGATTGTGCGCGTGTATGTGTGCTCGTGAGTGGTTGCTATTTGCAGGAGTAAGAATAAAAGCTAACAAGCGAAGAGTTAACAATCTTTTGAGGAGAAGGGAACTGAGAGGAAAATATTGAACGAAGCAGCTGTGCCCTTCGAATGGGAAAGGGTGGGTAAGGAAGAATTGGGGAGAAATGAATGGTGCGTGTCACTCATGTGCCCCTATTGATGATTAACGAGATAGCTTTTTA